GTCACCGTATGCTCTTGGAACACGAACGGAATTATGGTTTGGGCATGGATGCTCTGGTCACCGTATGCTTTTGGAACACGAACGGAATTATGGTTTGGGCATGGATGCTCTGGTCACCGTATGCTTTTGGAACACGAACGGAATTATGGTTTGGGCATGGATGCTCTGGTCACCGTATGCTGCCCATCAAAAAACGTGCGTTTCGCTGGACGGGGAAAAGTCACCCGATGGCTACTACTACTACTACTACTATTATTATTGTTATTATTACAACTTTTACTACTGCTATTACTACTGCTACTATTATTATTATTACTACTACTACTACCACCACTAGTCCTACTACTCTTGATGCTACTGCTATCGGGGCGTTACCTTTGCTTCTTCTGCTGTCAGAATGTACTGAATGTCCGGGGTTCAACGTGTAGTGGGAATTTCCTCGTACGATGTTTCCCAGTTTTTGCAAAGAAACAGGGAGCTTCAGAGAAATTACGGACAATTGTAAATAGCACAAGGAACCCGGGAGGCCAGGACCAGAAGTGACGCTGATGCAAGCATCTTAGCTCAAACTTCAGTTGCCTAAAGGTATGTTTATGGTCGTATGACGACTTGCACCATATGGAAACCCGACAATCCAGGCAGCTGCAGTAGTACAGTGGTTGAGAGTCATGCAAGATTTCCTGCAGCAACAGCAGCGTACTCGGAACCTTGGCATGTAGTATAAATCAAGCAGCTCCCCGTTTGCAAGGAAGGCTGCTGAGCTGCTTGCCATGAGGCAACTGTCCGTGTTGCTGGCTCACTCGGGGTTATATACGAATTCTCTGCAGGGTTACATAGTGGTACATAGGGTTTATAAATGTGTGAAAAATGATCTTTCAAGAAGAGGCTGATGCAGCCAGATCGTCGATAAGGTATGAAGCAAGCGTTAGGACCTGTACCATGTATTCAGGGCAGTTTGAATGCAGGGCGAACATCATTTCCAGAACCCGGGAGCATCTCAATGTGCAAAAGCCAGCTTTTCAACTGTCCGAAGTGTTAGCATACCTTGATTTCTCCGCGCCAGCTGTTGTGGCTGCCTCATCTGCAGTTTTGCTGAAACACCGCAGCTTGCAAAGCACGTGTTGTCAGACATCAATTGATGTTGTTTCAAGCTGTGGCCACCTGTGTACTTCTTTACCTCACAGAATCGTTATGATGACAGTTGTGGAATTACGAGGGAGAGAACGATAATCAGCTGGAGAAGCGGAGCCATGGTTTCACGCGTGGCCTTGAGGTTGGTGATTTGTGCATTTCTGCTGGCTGATGCTGAGCAGCCACACAAACAGTCACGTCTCACAACGGAGGCCCTGGCATTCCAAAGAGCAGTAGAGAATTTGGGATTCGGGTTTCCAGCCAGGGCGTTGCTACTGAGTCAGAGACAACTAGTATTACTTTCGGAGCTACCCAGGAAACAATTTTCTTGGAAGCAGCCGCCCTCAGCTGTGTCGCTATTCAATTCAGGCTGCACCCCAACATAACTTACAATTCCACAAGGGACCTTCAGCGCATGTTCTTTACCTTCATGTGCACAAATCTCCAACGTCCTTTCGTGCAGCCCATTCTAGAGTGCTCAAGCGCATAGGGGATTTGCGCCCGCCGCAGTAGCAAGCATCTCAAGCATTCCAGTTGCTCTCCTGATCTCTAAGGTGAACCAGCCACGCTTTGAAATTTAGTTTGTTACGTCTTCGAACGATTTTGGGACCACTTCCATGGCGTTGTCATGCCCATGTGGACGCTCAAAAGTGAGATGTGCTCGTTGCAGCGCGGTGCAGGGGTTTTGGGAGTTCTCGACGCAGTGCGGAAGCTGCGAAGTTGTTTGCTTCTGCGTGTCAGAATGCCGGCAGACAGTGCGGTGTTTCGTTTACGGGAAGGTTGGTGTGCTGGAGGTGTTGTTTCCACAGCTGTGCCATTTGGCCTGTCAGGTCGCTGGTCGACAGCCTGTCACGCCTCTGGTCATGTCCTTCCCGCCTTCAGGATCGTGTCCACTTCATGACTTCTGTTGCATTGGGTCAGTTGAGAAGTCTTGCTTGAAGTGCTTGTTGGCCGCTTGAAATACTCCTGGAGCTATTGGAAGCGCCGTTTGTGCTGTTGGAAGGATGCTCTCCGGTGACCATTGTACCTCCTAATTCTTGGATGCGTGTCATCTGACCTGGTGTGCTGGCATATAGCTGCTGACGCGCGAATCTTCAAATCTACACTGGCACATCATTCCACGTCTACATAAGCTGAGAGTGCCTATTGCGTGGACGTTCGTGGTGAGAGAAGACTGCTTTTGCCTTTTGGGACCGTGACAAGGCATGCATGAGTTTTGTGCTGTTCAAGTTCGTTTCGGAAGTAGCAAGCCACTCTCCTCGGCTGAGATAGCGGTACATGCACTCTCCAGACGTTAAGTCTGACATTCTCAAACGTCAAAGCCAGAACTGCTGACTTCAGTGCTCAGGCGCTTCATGGTTGGGATGTGCAGTGTAAACACTTTTGCAGATAAAGCTGGTGCAGGTTGATGCGCGCGGTTGGGTCAGAGCAGAAAAGCCAGGACCAGGGCGTAAGGAGAAAGGGGCTCGCTTTGAAGCTTGGTACTTAGATCTTGTTCGGCAGTTGCACTAAACTTTGACTTTTTCGTGCTTCTAATCTCATCATGATTTGTTTTGCACGTTTGCTTGCCAGCTTAGAGAGACATCGCAGTAGGACGTGCATCCATGGCAGCAGCGACTGCTCGGTCTGTGACGATGCACAAAGTCGGCCCGCGCAGATGGGGCGGCGTCAAACGCTTTGTGAAGAAGACGTGGAACACAGTAAAGGAGAAGGTGGTCAAGATTGCAAAGAAGACTCTGGCATTTGTTCCTAAGGTCTTTCCACGTACTTGCAACAATGGAGTCATGAAATTGTGGGGTGTATACCTCATGGCGTTCCGTGACTCACGAACAATAAACGGAAGGTGTATTGTCAAAAGCGATGCTGCAACTCGGGTCCGAATGACCAACGGTGCCAAATTGGTTTTTACAGGAGACGTTACTTTTGTTGGGGACCTCCTCTTCAAGGGTGACAAGGAACCAGAGCATGATCGTCATCTTGCTAAATGGCGGAAACATCCCATGGTTGAGGTGAAGCAGATGGCTGAGATTGCTGGGTCCCTTCGTTTCAAAAGGTGCCGTGCTTATTCAGAAACATCAATAAATGTTCCCTGCTTCTCTGCTAAGATCCTGAAGATGGATCGAAAAGAAGCAAATCTAGTGCTCGAAGACTGCAAAGCGAGTGGTTCAGCTCTTGCTGCCAAAGGCCTTATCCAATTTGACGGAGTTTTGCAGCTACAGGACTGCGCAGGTTTCACGGGAGCTGCGGAGATTAACGACGTCCAGCAACATGGAGGCAGCATGCAGTTCCACCGCTGCAGAGGCTACGACGGTGGAGGCCTTTGGGCTAGGAAGTTTTCCAGCACGTTTGGACAGTTGGAATTTGTGGACTGCGAGGCGTCGAGCGGAGGAGGCTTGTACATATCCGATGAGAAAGAAGGGGCTCTGCTTCTAACACGCACGGACGGGGATGGATCTGTTACTTTCAACAACTGCTCCAGCGACTCTGATGGAGGAGCCATTTATGTTGACGCTTTGAAGGTCAGGATTGAAGGCAATGTCATGTTCAACAATTGCAGCGCGGCAGATCTGCATGCGGGCATCGTGTTTGCCAAAGCAACCGAGGTTGAACTGAGCGAGGTTGGAGCACTTTCAAGGGCCATCTTTTCACTGTAATTCTAGTCATTCTACTCGTAAATAAAGCACGTCCTTCTCGAAAGCTTTCCCCGCCTTGGTGGCTTGTGCCCTGCAAGGATTTCCGGTCTCGGGTGCGATGCCCGCTTGGCAGCCACATCGAGGACGAGGGCAACTCCACGCGCTTGGTTGCCCTTAGTTGTGTTAGCTGTCGACGAGGCTGGATTCACGTGGACCAGGATGCGACCAAGGGCTGTGTGCCTTGTCCAACAGCCTCTGACACTTGCACACCTGGATCTTTGCAGATGAGTCGTGGGCTCATGGTGCAAGATGTACACGACCCATCACGGAACAAAACGCTGGCTTGCCCTAACTATGAGGCGTGCAGAGGTGTTGCCCCAGACGACATGTGTGCTATTGGCTACAGAGGTGCTGGCTGTGCACAATGCGCGGAAGGATCTCAGCTGGCCGACAGCAGTGTTCTCTCCTGCGTTCAGTGCTCCAAAGATTTGCAAGACGCGGCCATGCAAGTGGGGTTCTGGGTAGGAAAGAGCGCCCTGCTCTTTGCCCTCGCGGCCAAAAGTGTGCTGGGAAACACTGGCTCGACGAAGCCCAGCAGTGTCTATCTAAACCAACTGATGTCCTTTGCCACCTTGGCGGGGACTATCATGTCCGCCATGCTGCAAACACCTGCTGCCCAGGAATTGCAAGAAGGGTTTACCGGTGTTTTCTTTCAAGCCAGTGCCTTGGTTATGGAAGTAACATCAGGGCAAACGAGCAGTACCACAGGAACAGGGCAGTCGCTACAATGTGTCCTTGGCTATGTGGGTCTGGAAAGTGCTCTGTGGAAGGGCCACCTTGGATTCACGGTGCTGGCTGTGCTTCTCACCGCTGTCCTCAGTATTTTTAAAGGCTATCAAGTTGGCCTGGTTGTGGGCATCAACTGCTTTTGGCCGGAGTTCATGGGCCACTTTGGGAGGTACTTCGTTTGCTACAGGCTAAGTCCTGACAGTGGCCTCGAATGGCCGCAAGCACCCGATTTTTCCGGGGGCCTTGCCCTTGTCGCGGCTTGTCTGCTCCTCTGCTCAGCGGCAGTGCTACATGCCTGGTGGACCCTTTACGGCACAGGGGCCAACGACAGTGGGCCCAAAGTGGCCCAAGAGCAGCTCCACGTCGCCTTCCTGACAGCGCCCTACCAAGAAGCTTACGCAAAGTTTGAGACGGAGAGGCTGCTGCGCAAGGGCTGCTTCACGTTTCTGGCAGCTGCCCTCCCCATCACTGCGTCCCCTGCCCTGCAGCTCATTTTCCTTGCCATGGTGGTGCTCGCCTCCCTGGTCATCTATGCCCTGCTGCTCCCTTACAGCAATTCGAGGCCGGTTCAGTGCCAAAGCTGCTTGTGAGGTCAGATCTATATGTGCATGGTTGTAGTGGAGGGTGGCGCTTGAGCTGCTACTGTACACGTCAGACGCGACCGCGCGCAATTCTACACAGTCTTGTTAGAACTCAGGGTTGTTCTGCAGAAGCATTTTGTCACATGGACATGGAGCTGTAAATGTTTTGTCGGCGGGCTCAAAGGTCGTCTTACAATCATGCACAAGCTGCCGACATTTTTTTTTACGATAGCAACCAAACTCCGGCCCAGCTAGTCTTCTGCCTCCTTTTCTTCCGTTTCTTTGCGTCCTGCGTTTTGACCGGATTGCTTGGCTTTGTTTTCTCGTGATGAAGGTAACTACCTGCTTTCATCCCGTCAGAAGTATCATCCTTCTGGTGAAGAGGTGGAATATGACTGAAGTGGCGCAGTTGACCACGTGTCCCGGCTTGACTTGGACATATGTAATCTTTCTTGAATGCAGCACTGTGACAATTTAGATACCAGTAGTTTTTGCCACACTCCCCTCCCTAGTGAGTAGCTGAATTTCAGTTTAGGGCTTAAGGTTTAGGAGGAATGTGTCGGGATGCGGATTGCTCCGGACACAATTCTCAACGTGGCATGGGAACTCATCCTACTTACCACCTCTCTGAAGTCTTCCTCATGAAGCTTCCCCACTTTAGGTGAGAATAACCTAAAGTTCCATCATTGCTTTGGTAGGAACTGAGACGATGACATCGCTGCACTTGTCTTGTATGGAGAAGGTCACAGGCATTATCAGATTATGGAAAATGAAAGTGCCCCCGCAGCAGAATCCCACAACATCAGTTTTGTAAGGCCTTCTTATTGTGGAATGCAGGGGTAGAAGCCTAATGATTGCCAAGATTTTCATGTAAAACCCTCGTATACCTATAGCCCCCGTATACTTCCCAAATATGTCCTAATTAAATGGGCTCTTACATGTGTTATACATGGCCCAAGAACACTCACTCGCCAAATCTGCTGATGCTGCTGCTGCTCCTACTGCTTCTGAGAGGGTTCTGAAGAACTACCGAGGTGCATGGTTATGATTTTTGCTGCGTTCGGACTGCTTTCCAGTGATGAGCATTGGGGTCAAAGCGCCTGCGGCTGAAGAAATGGCTTAGGTCCTGTGGTTTATGGATGCACGTTGTACAGCTTGCATGTTGTTGGGTGCCAATTTAGGATACTGCTTTTGAAAGCGCCTACTCGTGTGGACCCAAGGCAAGATAGCACAGATCATAGCCACGGAGATGTCAATGGAAGCCTTTTTGGTCTTTGTGTGTGCAAGCATATAACCATGTCTTCGAAGGATCTTCATCATGAGGACCCCTTAAAACCGGATCTCCCCATTTCAGGTACACCATCCAAGTTCTGTAGAAAGCTAGGTCTTTGTGCATGCAGAAATTCCTCTTATGCCGTCATGAACTTATAGTCCCCCTCCCTTAAGTAGATTGAATATGAAAGCCTCATATACCCCATATTCTTTCTACTTAAGGGGGACTCTATGGCTTGGAGGACATGTCAACAGGGATCCTTAGTGGCTGAGGTCATCGTTGCCACGGCAGCTCTGGCAGCTGGGATTTGCGTAACTTTGGCTGTGCTCACCGTTCGCAGCCTCCTACAGGAGCGGGCAGAGGTTGCGAAGAAAGCCAGGTTGGAGAAGAAGAAGAAGGATAAGCAGAAGGAGCAAAGTCTGCCAGGACGGCAGCAAAATTGGAACACACAAAAGCACCTTCCTGGCCTGCAACCTCTCACGCCTCCAGGCATCCATCCAGACCGACCCCCAGGAATCATAGCGCCAAGCACGCAGCACCCAGAGCGGCCTCCAGGAATCATACCTCCAAGCACGAAGCAGCTGCCGGCACATCCTCCCGGCATCCAGCCTCTGCACCCAGAGCGGCCTCCAGGAATCATACCTCCAAGCATGCAGCCTCAGCCCGCAAATCCGCCCGGCATTCAGCGACCGCCACCCCCAAGGCCTCTTAGACGGATGTCCCAGCAGCCTCCAGCAATTGCAGCAACTGCCCTTGGCACAGAAATGCAGGCACCACCAGCTCAAGACGGCACCGGAGATCTCACGCAGCCGGCACCTGCAGCTTCCTAATCACTTCACCAGACCGCCAAAGAAGCTGATCTGTCCATGAGTTCAGGGCCCTCGGGCATGATTGCCGTGTATAGATTATGAAGGGAGCCTGCGGCGAGCAAAAAAGCCCCGAGCTGCATGTGTGCAACAGAGCTTCCGGTTGGCAGAGGCTTCCTTACAAGATGGGCATCAAACGAGTCCTTGGTAGGCTGTCTGCAGGTGTGCTCGCTAACTTGGCTGATGCAGCAAGCTGACAGGGCCCATTCACCACAGCATGAAGACCCAGTGTAAGCTAGCAATGCAGCTGTCCACCATTTGATGTCGATACCAAATGGAGAGTGTTCCAACTAGGGAGCAGGAATTCTCAAATCTTGAAATGAAATAGACGGTTTTACATCACAGATATGGATTTTTTCTTTTGTTGGCGAATGCGCAACTCCTGCACTCAGAAGAACCCCAAACAGGGACCCTTTGAATCTTGGAGCTCATCATCTTCCCCGACTGGAACAATCAGGGAACGCTGAGAGTTCTCGAAATTTTGCATGGCAACCCGGGCTGTTTCGGTGAATCAGGAAATCCCATAAGCTTGAAGAAATGTGCAAGTTGTACTTCAAGGGAATACATGCGTTAAAAGTCTAAACTCCTACAGAACACATATATAGGGGATTATCTCGGGTCTGATTATAGGGCTTAATAAGGGGGATACCAGAAGTTTAGACTGGCTCACGTGACTCTGCTAATAATTCGCTTTCTTGAGCAGGTGATGGCTCGCTGGAGGAGTGAGATTGTCGGATGGCTGGTCCTCCTGGCCCAGGTCTGGAGCGGGGCGTGGGGAGATTGCAATATGATGCTTGAAGGGTGTCGGGAGGACATATGAGCTATAGTCTAGACTCCTGAACGGGGGTCATAGGGTTATATAGGGGACTACTATAGGGTTTAATTATTAAGGGGGATACTAGGAGTTTAGACTATAGCTCATATATGTACATGGATGTACCCATAGACACTGGACTACACGGGGCCATTGTCCTGATATCAACTTTCAGGATTGTGTTTAGTCAGTTTTACAAATGCAGTCACGGAGCTATTGCTCAAGTCTGCTGCAGTGATGGTTTGCCTGCTAGACATGAGATGAATAGTTTGGTGGTAAGTCCTGTCTGTACATCACGCCCCCTTTCTTGTTCAGAGTCTTTCCTTTCTGGTGCCTGATGTGGATGGGCTGCAAACTCAAGATCTGCTGGGCTCTGGGATTAGTGAGATTGGTTGTATGGCTCCTTGCGCAGCCAGGTTTTGCTCAAAATGCTTGCTTGGAGTTTTTGCAGGCTCTGTTTGATCAAGCCAGCCTCAGGGTAAATTACCTTGTTTGCAGAGCCGGCTACTATAAGGCATCTTCCTGATAATATCAAGAAAAGTATTGAAAGAAGTGGCCTGAACCCTTGACCCCCAACATGCCCCAACCTTGAAACCTGAAATCCTAATGCAGAGGAAACTAAGGCATCGTCCTGATAATATCAAGAAAAGTATTGAAAGACTTGAACCCGTGACCCCCAACATGCCCCAACCTTGAAACCTGAAATGCTAGTGCAGAGGAAACGAAATGAGCCCGTAAAGACAAGGCTCTGCAAGGAGTACCTTGAAGTGAAGAGAAGAGGAAAGTTTGCGCGAACTCTATTGAGCTGGGTAGCAGATCGCGTCAAACCCTAAGCCCTTAACCCCCAAAAAACTAATTAGAATATCGTTACGTCCATGCCTTTGGGAGCCTCTCGAATAGCTTCCAAGATATTTCTGATGGGAACCGCAGAATGCTGCAATCTTTTTCAGGACAAACAGCCAAAAGTCCTAACCCCTAATCCCGTTTGTTGGGATCAAAATCCAGGCTTAGGGTTCAGGGTTAGGGCTTGTAGGGGCAGAAGCATTAAAGGTTCATTTAATGCCGCTAAATCAATTGCAGCTTCTGTTTAGCACCAACTAACACAGTCCTTTTTCAGGTGACGCCATGAGGACATCCCTTTCCAGGGAGTCTGCAACAATGGTGTTAAAAATGTGGGTGGCATCAGGTTTTTGCGGTGTAGCTACGGGAGCCTTTGGTAAGTGCAGGCTTCGTGGACGACGGCAGCTGCCTGACAGAGGACTGCGATGAGAAATCAGAACAGGTTGTTTTCGAAGGATAACAAATCTCCAGGTCAGACTAACGCATCCTGCATTCTTTCTAGCTTCTAGAATTGCCGCTGCGATGCTCGAGAAAGTATGCGGCTGTCCGTTGACATGCTTTTCTGGGCAGGATGATGGTCCCTCAGACAAAGGTAGCACATGTCTCATGCCGCCGTGTATATCCAGCTCTTTGGTGACTTTATCTACCACTGAGCAAGAACGCAGAACGCAAGGGATACTCGCTGCCATTGTTGAGGTTCATTCATTGGGTCCCAGCGCCAAGCACCCGAACCGATCCCTTGACAAGATCAGATAAGAGCATCAAGGTTGCACAGTGCTGCAGGAAAGGTTGCTCCTTTAAAGGAACAGGTGGATCTATGTCCTGGGACACCGCAAAATGCGACCGAGTGTTTTGAGGCCGTCTAGAAACTCCTGCTGTCATTGGCAGTCCATTGTTGTGCCAGGACATGCAGTTGAAAGCCACTGAGCAGTCCCAGCCACGACTGCCCAAGGCCTGAGGATATGCATGATGATTATGATGGTGGTGGTGGTGGTGGTGGTGGTGGTGGTGGTGGCGGAGGTTGCAATTGAGATTGCCAGTGCTCAGTGTACTCGTGCTATGACATAGATTTCTTGTCCATGGTCTTGTGTGACGTTCAGAGGTTGCAAGTAAAAAGCGCTGTGGTGATCTTCACTGTCAACGAGGTGTGCCGGCATGTACTTAGGGAATGTGATTTTAGCGGACTTCACTGCGGTCCCACAGACAGTTGAGCCTGCAGCCCATGCGATCATGCACAGGTTGCACATGACACAACATGACGTATTACTCCAATATACTATAGTAGTTTCCATTTTCTTTTCCATTCTCCCTACATTGCCCAAATAGATCTTGTCCACGCTATGACTTCTCGCGTCTAGTGTAACTTTCAGTCTCACATCTACTGAAGCTATTGCATTCTGCTCCCCGGTCAGATGGCTTGGTTAGTCGGTTCTTGAAGAGGCCAAAGGCGTGGAGTGTGCACATTAGAGGCTCAGAGGCTTCCACAGGAGGGCAGCTCCACCTCGAAGTGAACCCGTTGTCTAAACTCCCAGTATCCCCCTTCATAAGCCCTATAGTAGTCCCCCATATAATATCCTATATGACCCTCTTTAAGGAGTTTAGAGTTTAGACTGTAGCTCAAGTGACGCCATGGTGGAAGACATAGAGAAGTTGAAGGAGCAGCTCCGGGCCGCACAGGAGAATTTGGTTCCAAAGCTGCTTTGCAATTGTATCTGATGCTTGCATGCCTTTCCGTTGTCCCGAGAAAGAGGACGCCAAGCATATGACATTGCTGGGAAGAGATGGGTATGACTCGGGATGGCAGACAGCAGTAGTAGTGATGATGGTGATGATGATGAGGAGGAGTGCAACATATGCAGCACGTTTGGTTGCAACTAGGTCTGCAACAACAACTCCATGCCTTGCCAAAAAAGCCGACAACCAAAGGAAGGCACGGCCATCACGCGAGCCCTAAGCCCTAAACCCTAAACCCGCCAGGAGGCGCAGAGGAAGGCTGAAGCTCGGTGCAAGAATATCAAAGGAAAGGCGGGGATATGAATCAGATTTGGATTGCTTTTTGGGCTTTTTGGGGTGTCCTAGCAAGGATCTTAGAGATTTCTTGATAAGTCATCGGATGCCTGTTTTGAGGCATAGCCTGCCAATTCCTGGCGTGTGTGAGTCATCAGGATTTTTCTGTGTGGTGCCAACACTGCAGGCTAGTTCAGCATATCCTCAAGCATGTACAGTCAGCCCAGAACCTTACATGACCGAGACCTTGTGAAGGTGGACTGGGAGTTTCAGCTGAAGGCGAGCCTTGAGGATTGGAAGGGCAACGTACAGAAAAGTCAATTTCATGCGAGCAGTTACTTGTGCCTCTGTGCTTCCCACTCCCTTCACAAGAAGGTGAGGGTGAGATAGTTGTGTTTCAGGTTATTGCATAAGAGGAGCAGTTAGTGGGACCCTTGTGGCCTACGTGTTTCACGGAGTTGCTTCTTCGCCTTCCCTCCATCCATACCATGGCTGCTGGTGCGTGGGTTTCCTGGATGTAGCAGCTTCATTTGTTAGGGCCCCCTTGCAGGAGGCAAGTGAAAGGGCCAGCAAAGTCAAAAGTCTTGACGTGTGCTTCGTACTGGATTCCACGAATTCCATGCAGCCATACATCGACTCCGTTAAGCGCAAGATTTCTGAAATCAATGCGCAGATTGAGATGCCCTGCTGCAGTTGGGCTGGCTGTGATGCCTTGCTGGCTTCCTACAGGTTCTAAAGCGTTGTTTTCCGCAGAAAGGGTTCGAATGCTGAGGAAGATGATGGGAAGTGAAAGCCACTGTCCGGTATGCCATGGTGTGCTATCGGGACTTCGATTGCCCTGAGCATGAGCATCCAGAAACACTTCCATTTGGCGACGTGCAGTCCTGCCAGCAGTTCTTGGAAGGGGTCAGGGCGAAGGGCGGCGAGGATTGGAGACTTGGCTAAAACCATGAATTGTGCTGTGTTGGCTGCAGTAGGTTTATTGTCCAAAAAAACCACCAAGGTGTGAAGATGTCCTAACAGGACTGGAGGCAGCTATCAAGTTGGACTGGCAAGGGTACATGCGACAGTTGTTCCTGATTGCGCAGACGCCCAACCATGGGCCCCGATTCCATGACAAGGACCCAGGTCGAGGACACATGGTTGGTCCTGTCCGGATTTTTGATTGGGATCCCTACTATGACGTGGACACCAACAAAGCAGACGATATCCTCCAAACCATGGCTTACCAAGATATCCATTTCCATTGTCTGGAGATCTCGGGCTCAACAGCGAAGATGTTCGAGGCCTTCCAGCGTGTCTACAACAATAAGGACGAAGGGCGCGTGATGAAAGTGCACACTATGACCTCAAATCCATCTTCAGTGTTGTCGACGATCCTCAAAGCTTCTTTCAGCTCCGTCCAGGAATCGTTGACAAAGGCGTCGTCATCCACTTGCCTGCCGAAAGACATTGCCACGATGAAGCACGTGCCCTTGGATCCCAATATTGATTGGGAGAGCATGGCTGGATGGAAGAAGCTCCAGGCCACGATGGAGTCGATGTTTGTGCAGGACGAGGCTTGCACCGAATTCCAAGTGCACAAAATGGGTACGGTTGTCCATCTCGCGCCAAAGCCATTCAGCCATGGAGCCATGCGTGCAGCCTATGCGCTGTATGACGAAGGGTCCGCACAAGGGTCCGGCACCAGGTTGGTAGCCAAAAAATATTTGAACGATCGGAAGTACAACTCACCAGAGGTGCTCATGGGTGACATCCGCTCACAGGCTTTGGCTAGTCGCTTGGTGGAAAGATTCAACAAGCTGAGACCCCAAAGTGCTCCACTATGTTTCGTTCAAGTGCAGTTGATGCGAGTGACTATTGACGGCAGGGAGGAGCTTATGACAGTGGAGCCTTTCATTGCAGGAGAGTACCGCAAAGAGACGAACAATGCCAGCTTTGCACGAGAGGGATCCGAAGTGGCCCAAGCCTTTAGCCACTTTACCCATGATGTGACAGGGGGAGCCTTCATGGTCGTTGACCTGCAGGGTGTTCGTGAAGCGTTAACCGACCCTCAGGTTCACAGCAAGCAACCTGGAAGTTTTGGGCGAGGAAACCTGGGTCAGAGGGGCTTCGATGCATTTTTCATGGTGCATAAGTGCAACGACCACTGCAGAGAACTGAAGCTCAAGCCGAACCCCTTGCAAGTCAGCGGCTTCGACCCTAGCTTGCTGCAGGGCTTCAGCCTGTGCCCTCTGAACCTTGAATAACAACAGACCATACCATGCGCGTTGAGCAGGGCAGGCTTCTTGGCAGAATTTTTGGAATGTTCGCTTGTGAGCCCGCGCCAAGGAGCATGCATCGCGTCCGCCAGTCAGCAAGAGAAGTGCTGGCAAAGGGAGAGAAAGATCCAATCTGGATTGGCGGCATCAAGCTTGTCTGGCATCCTAAGCACAAGGTGCCTGTGGTGCTTGAAGCTTGGATTGAAAGATGATGTTGGGGCAGTTTGCATACAAGATGGGTCAACCGCTTTTGCCACAGCTTGCCTCAGCACAGGATGTTCAGGACAATATTGAAGCATGGGTTTATGAATCGTCGGAGCTCGCCCCGCACATAACAGACGTTCGGATGCTGGCAGCCATGTTGAAAAGGACTGACCAGGATGGTGCACAGCGTGATTGGTTGGCGGATGCTCGTGTGATTGCAGCCTCGCGTCAGAATGTGCAAGCTCGCTTTGTGACGCAGTGCCAGATCAAAGTAGGACCGGGTTCAGAGTGCCACATGTTGCTGGGCAGTCTCCAACATGCTTGCCTGCTTGTGCGAACGAGCGTGTGATATGGGCTTTGCCAGGACACTTCTTGGCAAAGATTGATGGTGTCGAGACCTCGGTCTTGAGCAGATTTGAAACCCTCGAGCGGCTCTGCCAGTGCTCAGACGATGCTGACGTCACCAACACCGTCACTTTGGCGTTCGACGGCCCCTTGAAGGGTGAAGACATATGGATTCGACGCTTCAGCACACCCCCCCCAGCGATGAAGGGCATAGAGGAGGAGACAGATGAGCAGGTTATGCACTGGCCTTGCGGCGGAAAGTGTGGTGCGACTGTGCAAAGGGACTTGCAGGCAAAGGCCTATGATGGCAACTTTCCCAAGCTCGTGTTTTGCCGTTCCTGTGCTCAAAAGCTTTATGGGAGTTGGCGCGCGAGGGTGTGCAGATCGCCGGAGTGCAATGAATATGTTCAATACAAAAACCTTCTCTATGTTTGGCAGGGGCTCCCCGAACCCGAGCTTTGCTCAAAATGCAAGCAACAGGGTGTGGAAGGAAGGAAGCAAGAGGAGGATCTGTGGCGCCTGAAGAAATGCCAAGAGTGCAATGAGCAATTTGAATTCTACGTGCCGCAAGATCCACACCACTGTGCCAAGTGTGCGCAGAAGATGGCAACATCCTTGCCTGATGCGTGCGAAGCGGAGGCCCAAAGTGATGTCGCCACCGATGAGTCCGAGCTCAGTGATTGGTCAGTCATTTCTGAGCTGAACTTGCCAACGTGGAAGCCTCGGATTGGCCAAAACTGTGAGGAGTGCTCCGCCGAAGTTTCTGACCAAGGCCAGCAGTTTAACTGCCAGTCAGGCCAGCATTGCTTCTTCTTGTGCGGCTCCAAGGGCTGTGCCAAGAAATTCCTGAAGAAGTGCGAGGACTCTGCAAGGCGGTGGGGCAAGTCCGGCAAGAAGAAGCTGGACTTTGCGCAGCACACGGGCTCGTCACCTTGTCCTTCTTGTGGCCTTCTGCTCATTGAGGAGAAAATCAAGAGTCAGGAGCAGTCGGCCTGCCTCATAAGCAGCAAAGGTCCAACGTGCTTTCTTTGGGGGACATTGATGCCCACGTTTGATGAGAGGTTCACACTCATACAGCAGCTGCAAGAGGGCGACAAGCTATTCTCTGCCGACGGGGCAGTTGTTGCGGTGAAGTCCATTCAGTTCACCGAAGACGCAGAACAGGAGCACACATCAATCATTTGTAGGTCGAAGCTTCAGTTCAAAAATGCACTGAGAGGAGCTGCTTTCCTTCCACACTGCGAGCGCTTCCCAGCTTCAATGAAGTCATATTCCCCATGTGCAGGACCGACCGTGACTCCTTGGTGCTTTCTGTGTGTCTGTCGATTTCCTACTGTACTGAGGCCTGCCTGGTGGTTTCTAAAGATCATAGAGTAATGGTTCAGCGTGGTGAGCACTTCCAGCCTCTTCCGGCAGCAGCCCTACGTTTGGGCGACAATGTGCTTACCTCCAGTGGGGGCAAGGAGAGGCTGGTCAAGACCGAGCTCGTTCCGAAGGTCACCCAGCCGCTGGATCACGGTTAAGCAGAAATGATGCCTTTACTGGTACCAAGCCCCTTAAACAACAAATACCGTCTAGTCTTGCCAGCGCTGAACTATCAACCAGCCAGGCTGGTGGACATCACTGTCATCCCAGATAAGCCATTGCTGGCCTACCCGCCTACGTTGGATGCCATCCAGAGCATGGGCCGTGAGTTGCCTCGAACAAGACGGGGCCGCAAGCCAGCTGGCAGTGAGGGCAACACGGAAAGTTGGGAGAAGCTGAGCATCCCCAACACTGACAGCAGTTTTGATTGATGCTGGCTTGTACCGGCCTAAAGATTTGATGGGACTTTCGAAGAGCTTTGTGCACAGCTGCGGCTGGTGCCAAAGCCCTCTCGGAGGCCTGCTTGCTTACTTTGACCTTACCTTTGAAGGCTTTAAACCCCACCTCTGTACTCAACGGAACAGCCCTGCTTGACCTGAGTTGTGCCGAATTATCATACTTCCCAGCAAGGCTGCAGTATTCTAGGTCATGCAGGAGGATTTCCGTCAAGCGATGTAAAGGGCCTTTCGCGCTATTCTCTGCAAGGGGTAGTCTTCACACCACCTCGTGCACGGCCACGGCTGGTGCCAGGTTTGTGAGTCTTGCACTCCTTGCTGGAAGCAGACATGGCAGCGTGTCAAAATGTATGTTACTTGACTGCGGAATTTGTTCTGCCAAGTTCGACACGCCTTATTGTCCTGGACGTCGGCGTGTGGTTTATGATTTGTCTCCTGGCATCAAGGTGCCGGGCCTTTGCTTTGAGCATCTCCATGGCACATTCATGCATATGGGTTTGTTTGAGCTCCATTACCCACGATTTTGGGAAGCCAAACTTTCTGAAAGAGATGGCAGTCTGAGTGCAAAGTGAGTGCCGCAGGCAGAGGGTGCGTTCAGCCTGGCAGGCCTGAGATGGGCATCTCTCAACGCAAGGTGCTTGGGGGGCGGGGGCTTTAGGCATATATGGGGATAACAAAGTGATAGTGGGAGGTCTCGAGTGTGGTTTAGAGAAAACACCAGGTTGGTTTTGAAGATTATTTTCACTTGATCCCGATCCTCAATGTTGGGGTTCCATTTCTTTCTTCACATGTAAGACACCGCTTGTAAGTTTGCAACTATTAGACGGGATTTGGAGGTGCGAAAGGAGGGGACCTGGATTGTGGAGAATTTGCATGGAAGGCACTGCAGAGGCTCCTCTACTTAGTGGGACTACATAACTGCAACTGCTCAGTGCTTGCCAGAGTAGGGAATCCCAAAACAAGTGAACGCTACGCCCTTAGAACTCCAGAGAATCTGGCGCATTGTGAGACTTGAGCTCCTCATGGCGCAGACATTCTAGGCCACTTTGACCTAATGGGTATGTGCCAAACTGTGAAGGTAATGAGAGGAATCATATTAATCTTAACAATTAAAAGCGTTAAGCCCTAAACAATAATGCATGCCAGGTGGATGCGTTGCCAAGCTTGTGGAGTGAGGCTGTGCAGGCTCTGCTCTCACCAGGCTAGTAGGGAATGCAGATCCCTACAGTCGTCTATATCTGAGCTATAGTACAAACACCTTAAAGGAGGTTATACAGGGATTCTACAGGGTTTAGGGTTCAGGATTCAGGGTTTGGGGTTTGGGGTCTAAACTTCCGAAAGGGAGTAATATAGGGGATCGTATAGTGGAGTATTACAGGGGTGATTAGTGTGGATACTAGGAGTTCAGACGATGCTCATATGTATATTTGCATGCACCCTCGGAGTGGTCCCTATATATTATATACCCCGCCCGTGTTTCTTCCCTACGAGCCGCAAGGAACTTCAGATCTCTGGTGCGTGAGGTCTCAAAGTTTCTTGCTTGAGACTCGGCCTTTTTCCGGACAGAAAAGGCAACGTGATATGAGCTATAGTCTAAACTCCTTAAAGGGGATGATACAGGGATTATTATATGGAATATTAAGGGGGATGTTAGGAGTTTAGATTATGGCTCATATCGATAAAAGATCCGGTCGGAGATCAATGGCTGACGGGCAATTGGAGAAGTTATCCTTCAGAGGCCGAGGCCCCTGAGTCTGAAACCGATGCACCAGGTATGTGGGGGATAGTAAGTCGTGATGTTAATGCAAGGTCCCCGTCAAGGTCAAACTCACTCTCTGAAGAACTTGCGTATTCGGGGGCAGCATGCAGCAGGCTTTTAAGGAGTGACGTGAGCTCTTGTCAGCTCCGAAAGCCCCGCATCGTTAATGGCTCCTACGTTGCTTGTGCATCATCCTTGTGCAGAAGCATCGACTGCAAGTCAGCCAAGTCATGATCACTCATTCTCGCGTCCGTTTTGCCGCCAACGATACTATCCGATACTTCACTGCTACTTTACTCCCCCTGCTGACACTAAATGTACCACCGCCGCGACCTCTTCTTCAAGTGAAATCATGGTTTAGGTCGCCAGCTTGCCTCAGATGCCTCCGTGATCCGCAGCGTTCTGCTTCAAGACGCCAAGCGCGATCCCAAGAACTGTGAAAACTTAAGGCCCTGGGGCCATATAAGTTGGCAATCCCCAACGTTTGGAGTTCAGAGTTTTGTAGCCTACAGGATACAGGGGATACCCCTTGTATGATTCCCTGCCTTCTTGCCTGCTTTGAGCTTTTGAGCTTCGAGCCTTCTGCAATGTACCGGAAGAACACCTGGGGCGAGGCCATCCTCGGACGAGAGGCGGAAGTATGGAAGAATCCGTTTAGGGTCTAGGGTTTCGGGATTAGGGTTTAGGGATTAGTGTTTAGGGTTTAGGGATTAGGGTTTAGGGTTTAGGGTATCCACTCACCCTAAGAATAATTCTTGCCCTACCCTCGATCACAAGGAATAAAACATATCTTGTATAGTACTCCAATCTAATGGCGGGAATATTTAGGATTTGAGGAGGGTTCATTGTTGGGGAGAGGCGATGCTGTGGGGGGCCGCTGGTTTCAGGGTTGCGGGGCAGGGAGAGCTTCTTAGAGCAAATAGTGATGTGCTGTTGTGGTATTCATGCTCATATCAAGCTGAAAATCGGGATGGTGATATTGAGGCCAGTATTTATGGGTAGAGTAACCATGATTTGCTTAGGACGTAGCATGCTGGCGAATTGTGGCCATGCTTAGCTGGGGTTGACTCCTAGGGCAAGCTTCAAACCCCAAATCCACCACCCAAGACTTCGTACAAGTCTGCAGCCTAAGCCCTAGACTGTTCTCTCAACCCTAAATCATGTATGCGCTATCCTGCACCTCTTCCTGAACCTTCGATGATTCCTAGGTCATCCTTAAATAATCAAAATGCCAAGTTGAGGCTACAATCCAGACGCAGAATCGTCTTCGCTACGCCCTACGCCCTAAACATCATTCCCTATTATCATCCCTATTAAGGACGGGGTTTATTAAAAAGGGATCTACATTATTCCCGAAATCCGAATCCGTGTCCCGGAAAGAGGCTCTGTGCTTGGAGATTGCCTCAAGGCTTTGCCGCTGCCTCAGCGCGTAGGACCGGTTTAGTGGTCATGGCGATATCAAGATTTTTGTAGCCCCAACCTCTGAAATTAGGTCCCTATTATAGTCATATGATAATTACAGGGTCTGGGTCCTAGTTTTGCGAGTTGGGGTTGCCCAGAATCGCCCATGGGTTCAGAGTTTTAGGGCTTTCTAGGATGTGGGGGTTCAGGGCAAGAATGCTGATGCTTCTGGTTGGGGATGGCATTCTTGTCGCGATGCATAGGGGCTGGCCCTAAGCCCCAGATAAATCCTGATGTAGGAGTACAAGCACTGCAGATGAGTTCGTGTTGGAGGCCCACTGGCTTATTAACAGCATCCCTGTATAGTCCGTATATCTGCATGTGTCCTCCCTGGGTCCGAAGTCCTAGTTCCTCAATCCTTAACCCCCAACAGAAACCGGAAACCTTGGATACTGCCGCCACACTTCCAAGAGCCCCCCCAGTACTGCCATCATAGCACCTTTATATCCGTCTGAATGCAGCACCTCTAGAATACCCCCCCCAACAGGAGTTACAGAATGTCCTGGTAAACCCCGATGTGGAAGGCAGCATCAAACTTGAATCCTAAATCCTAGAACATTAAGTCATAATCCCTTCTCTTAATATTAAGTCCCTAGCAAGCCCTAAACCATGAACTCCAAAAGCCCCTAAACCCTAAGGCCTAAACCCTGAAGCCTGAACCCTAATCCTTACAACCCCACTGGAATGGGTCCGCTGGAGCCAAGGCCTGACGGACCTAGCTGCCATGCTGGCGGTAAGAGCCTGAACTGCTTCCTCAAGGGGTTCAGGGGGTTTAGGGTTCAGGGTGTTTAGGGTTTGGGGTTTCGGGTTATGGGGGATTTAGGGGGTTCAGGGAGATGTTCAACCCTAAACCCTAAGCTCTAGGGTGTGGGGTTTAGGCCTCAGGGTTCAAGGTTGGGGAGTAGATTAGGGTATGGAGTTCAGGGTTTAAGTTGCAGGGTTCAGGGTCTAGGACTTTCGGTTTGTAAGATTTCGGGTTCACTGTCTAGCTTCAGGGTATACAGTTCAGGGTTTAGGCTTTAAGGTGGTGTGGGGGGTCCAATGCAAGATGAATGTAGAAGGTTGGATGCTGACTGCTACAGTCTCCAGCCAGTCCTTGGGTACTTCTAGTGTATCATACACCAAATATACGCATCTCTGCATACAAGGTTCCTGGATGGCTCCACTTGGAAGTGAACAGAATTTGAACCCGATATAACCCGATGTAACCCCTATAACCCCTGTAACCCTTTACCCTATATCAACCCTGTAGCCTGTAGCCTATAGAAAACCTATAACCCCATATAATCTCTCTAGAACCGCTATTACCCTATATAACTCCTATAGAACCCCTGTAGAGGATTTCAGGCATGTGGCTAGCTTTGCTCAGTGTCCAGGGCTCGCCTTTTCTGTGCTCGGGTATAGGGTTTAGGGTGTAGGATTTAGGATTCAGGATTTAGGGATTAGGATTTAGGGTTTAGGGTTTAGGGTGTCATTGGTAAGCTTCCATGCCAGAGTCTATTATAGGGCTGCTAGGGGAAGTTTCTTGTGACTACAAAATACTCAGAAACCCGAACCCCTAGATCCTTAACTCCCTGTCTTGCTCATGGAGAGGTTTATGCAAGCGTGCTGGGACTGGGAGGACAGCATGGTCTGGGCGTAAGGGCGTAAGGGCCGGTTTATACAAGGAGCGCTACAGTCACCCGGAGCGTTATTGACATCAAGCCAAACAATGGAGGATAGGCGCACCGAGTGCCTGGCAAGAATTGATTCATGGTGAGAATCAACTTCGTGAGCCACGTGATAAGTTACTGAGTGGGCCATGGTCCGTGACTGTAGGTGCTGGCTGGGTGCCAGATTCACCGATTTGGGTTCATGAAGTTCCTGCCTTCTGATGGCGACTGCGGCACGTTTCAGGGTGTTAGGGTTTCGGGTTTAGGGGCCATTAGATTTGTGCTTGAGTCATCAATGCCCCAGACAATCGTGCATCGCAATTCCTGAATCCGTGCGCCCGCAGTACAGATGGCTAATCTCATCCTTGCGGGAGTCAAAAAGGCGATCATTGCGATCATCATCAGGGATCACAAGAGAGATCATTTTTAGGATCCACTCCCCCCCAAACTCCTAGACTTCCCTGAAGCACCAGTAATCGGAGCATGAGCGATTGTGTGTGCAACCTCGAAGAATGGGAACCTGAGGTTTGCGCAGACACGACAGCGGTCTTCCGAGAGGCCTCGTCCTAAATCAGAGCTCGAGAATGACAGTTAAGAGTTCAGGATCTTCGGGTTGGAGGGGTTTGGGGGCTTTGGGTTTCTGGGTTTAGGGTTGACGTAGTGGCAAAAGCATCGTACAATAACATTGTTATATGCTAGTAGCAGTGGTCAGCAGTCATAGAAGTCGTGACAGTAGCAGACATGTATGTAGTGCAGTAGCACTGCCAGGCACGCGAGGAATACCAACAACATTGCCAACGTAGCACAGGTAGTGGATCTTTGGCACAATCTCGTGTTGCAGCAGCAATAATGGAGTTCGAGATATTTTCGTACTTAGGACGGCGCTCCAGGAAGCATTCTCAACCGTTGTGGCTTGCACTGCCGGTGTGTCATCGCGCTGATACTGCAGGATGTTTACACCTCTGTGATTTCTGAGGTGATAGCGTTTGATCTGTGGAACATTTTCTCATCAAGCAAGAGTGAAGGAGTGAAGCTGAATTAGGTGCTTCTGAAGTCTCCCGGATCCCAGATCCGACGATGGCGCGGCTGCTCCCTTTCGTCATGCTGCTGTCAGAGAGCTTGGCGTCGCCCAGTGAGTACTGGGCCTTGGCGTGCCTGGCTGTGCGGACGGCGCGGGCTCAGCAGGGCCTCGAAGCAGGCAGGAGACTGGGCGGGCGAACGCTCAGCACCAACGGCACAGAGGGCTCTGTGTGGTGTGGTAGGGAGAGGTACAACGGCGCGGCCGGGAACATGTGGTATGCGAACCCCTTCACCACGGCCTGTAGCAAGGCATCCATGGACATGGCTTATGCCTATGGAGATCAGGTGCTTTTTGCCAAAAAGGGAGACTTCATCAAGATGCATTGCGACAATTGGGAGTGCCCCATTCCCCCTGTCGTGGACTGCTACTTTGACCGGAATGCTTGTGGAGCGGATGAGTGGTGCATGGTCATTACTCACGAGAAGTGGGGTGCCTGGGCCATGGGGAAGAACGGGCACACCCCTAACTTTGAGCTCTGCGGCTCAAGTTACTATGCGGACATCGAGCAGATAGCATCCCAGAGCGATGCGAGCAATGCCACGGTTGCAGCATTGAAGTTGACCCGAGACCGGATTTGTGGAAGCACAACCGTAGGCGTGGCGAACGGTATCCAGCTAAAGGGCTACTCGGAGGCAAAGATTTGGAAGCCTTCGCACGGCCGATGCGTCAAGTATCGCCAGGAGGGCCAGAGCTGCATCCCAACCCTGGCAACCCAGGGCCGCTTTGCCAATGCCTTCGTCCGTAGGCAACAGACGGAGACGTCCTCGTACCCGAACGGGGGCACCATGGAGCGGCCCTTGGCCTGTGCTCCTGGGTTGATCTGCACCGGCCCAAGCTTCGATGTGCTGCCCTCAACGTGCGTGAAGGAGCGGCCGAAGGATGTCTGCTATGCCGGGCCCTGGTGGGACAGCTCGCGGTGCCCACGAACCTCCCTACAACGGCCGGGCATGGACCGGCAGTGGGCTCTGGAGTCCTTGCAGACGGCCTTTCTGCTCTTCGCTGGTGAGGTGGCACCTGCCATGAGCTGCAAGTACTGGACGGGTCCACTGGCTCCCTTCACAGCCGAGGTGAGGAAGGTCACCCACAGCATCTTCCAGGCACTCTGGCCGGAGCACCTCGTCGGAGAGTACCCCACGTTGCAGGAGCTTTACGCCGGCATGTGGCGACAGGCAGGCGTGGACCTGGCTGCCCTGAGCCCCGAAGAGTGCGAGGCTGGTGAGAGCCGGGACGGCCACATCGCGGATGCGCTGGCCGTGGTGGGGTCGTGGACCAACCGTCCAAACCTCCTCTGGAGTCTCATCCACTTTGTCATGCACAATCAGCCGTCACCTATGTCCAGGAACGCTGTTGCTGCCTCGTCTGCCCTAGCAAGCCACCTCTCGGAGAATTTCTGGTGTAACGACTGCCGTGGCTTCTTTACTGTTGGCGTGCTGTCAATTGTCGGCCTGCCGCCCCAGAGCACAGACGGTGAAGCGCATGCCAAGTATTGGAATCTTGGCCACAACATCGCCTCGGAGCATGTCGCAACCACCCGTGGCGGCCACCCATGGATCAACACGCTGGAGGCTGCTCAGGAGGAAAACGTGGGCAACCCCTTCTATGTGCCCTACGAGACTTCCGTCGAGATGTGGCATGTGCCTTCCTGAGATATGGACAGTAGCTCGTAGCCTTCAGAGTCCTCGCAGCCTCAGGCCTGTTACGTGCCGCCCCTGCAGGGCTTCTGATCTGTATTGATCTGTATACATGTACGGCCTCCGCAGACAGAAGCCCAACCTGTACAGATACCTAAGCTTGTCTTGCAGTCCCGTCCTCTGTAAAGTTCAATCATCCGTTTCAAGTTTTGTAGCACCAGCTGTGGCACTTTATGAAATTGTCATGCCAAAGCTCCAGCTGTTGCAGCAAAAATGGTTGCGAGCTAGAAGGATGCTGCTCTTCTGCCTGTGTAGAAACGTATTTTGGCCAGGGGACACTTCCCAAAGCTACCCTCGATGTTACAGTAAGAATGGTTCAGTAGTAAGGGGCTGAGCATTGGGATCCCTTTTTATCGAACAGGAAATGCTGCCAGTCGACCTTCCCTACTATAACCCCAATATAGACCCTGTCATAATATTAGTAGTTTCCATTTTTATTTCCATGATCCCTATATAACCCCAGTTTACTCCCTTATTCCCTACAAACAGAGAACCCCAAAACATCTGCACTGAGTCAGGCCGGCGCCACGTCAGTCTCAGGGCCTGGTGCTAAGTGCAGACATTTGATATGGGGGGCGGGGTTTAGGTTTTGTTGTCTCGGGATTAGCTTGTTCAGGGAGTGTAATGTATAGGGTTCGCACGAGCCTAGGACAAGCCTAGGAGTAATGTATACTTCTTTCCTGGGCTCTAGTGTCAAAGGGCCACGTTAGGCTTCACGCTATATAAACCGAGCTTCCACCTGATTTTCCATTTTCTTTCTCATTTGATTCTCCACGATCAGAGTGATCTTCCTAAACTGTTTAAATCTCAATTTACCCTTACATAGCCCTATATAACCCCTATGTAAGCAACCTAAGCCCTGAAGCCTCGACCCCTGATATAATCACTTTATACTATCCCTATATATAAGCAGCCTAAGTAGCAGCAGGGGGAGTCTCTAAGGATCAAGGCAAAAGTCGGGAGAGCAAGGTTCAGTGTTAAGCTGGTTTAGGGTTGTAGGGTTGTAGGGTTGTAGGGTTGTAGGGTTGTAGGGGTTTCAGCAGTTTAGGGCTTAAGACGGTGGACTCTACTGCTGACATGTTTGGTTAGGGTTCAGGGAGATGATGCTGAGGGTTGTACAGATTAGCTCTGGCTGTCCAATATCTGGCCTTCCCAGTAGGAAACCGAAGCAGATGAAACACTGAAACAGGGTAAACCCTAAACCCTAGCCCCCCCGCAAACACGTGGAACTAGATGTGGCAGGTGCCTCAGTCCTGGCTAGCGTGATGATTCTTGTGAGACTTTATCTTGGACAAAGAGCCAGTATTGAATTCTGTTCGGCCTGCAGCGGGAAAATTATGAAGCCTCAGCCCTGACCTCAAACCCTACATCCACACCCTTAGACCCCTTTGAAGGACTTGGTATTGGGTGTAGGTTCAAGTTGTGCAGGTGTTAAGGTGAAGGTAGCGCAGTGGGATGGTCAAACCATCGAACTTCAACCCAAAACCTTCAAGATAGGGTTTGGGGTATAGGGTTAAGGGGTAAGGGTCACACTTACCTTCCTAACATCTCCCAACCTGAAGACCTAGAAACTTTTGAAAAGCTTCACAACTTTGAAGTCTTGACGCCTTCGCCTCCAACAAGATTGTGGCTTGCAATAAGAAAGATTTTCTCCCTTTTCAAGCCCTGAACCCTAAACCCTAAACTCTAAACCCCTAAACCCTAAACCCTCAAACCCCAAACCTAAACCCTAAACCCACCACTCTAAACCCTAAATCCCAAGGCCTCCCCCAGTTTGAGAAATTCCCATGAGTTGCCCTCTTCCTGAGGCCTGGGCAATGCTGGGAACTCAGGGTGTCAGGGTTCAGGGTTTAGGGTTGGAAGGTTTACGGTTGTAGGATTTAGGGTTGAGGGTTGGAGGGTTTAGGGTTGTAGAGATGTAGGGTTTAGAGTTGCAGGTTTTAGGGTCAGGATGTTCAAATTCTTGGGCTTGAGCTGGCATGAAGGAATGTAAACATGTTTTTCGCGTTTTATAGTCTTATCCTAGCAAGGAACCCGTGAAGTTTTAGCTTAGGGCGCGGGGTTCTTGGGTCTTAAGGTTAAGGCTTAGGGTTTAGGGTTCCGGGCTGAGCACGTTTTGGGCTTAAAAGAACCTTTAAACCCTGCATCGCATTTGCGCCATTGGAGTCTGGAAGGGCGCTTCCTACATCACCCTGGGGTTTTGTTGGTTACTGGGACTTCCGAGGATGATCCTGACAAGAATCACGCAGTAACAGTTCTCTAGGTTCCAGAACATGAAATTTCGCGCGCTTTTTCGGACACGTTGGGTGAGCTTCCTGAGTACGTGGTGACCCTCTCTTGGGAAACAAGAATGGGGTTGGGCCTTCCTTTGCAGAACATTATGTGCCAGTTCATGTGGGCGCTGTGTTCGAACTTGTCAATCGGGTATACTTGTCAGAGAAAGTAGTTGCCACACCCTATGACATGCCAAATGGATGACAACTATCGAATCAAGCAGAATCTCCTGAGAGATTTTGAGGCGATGCTGTGATGATGGACCTCGTGTGCAGCGTGCCTTTGGCTGTCACCGTATGGTCAGAGTTTAGGCTTCCAGTCTAGAGTCTAGGGCTTCAGCAGGCAAGTTCTTGCCAAAATTATGTTGGGAACGTTTATGGTGCACCACGTGGTAGCTAGAGTAAAATGAGAGGAGATCCTGAATTTGCGAATTACCACTAAATAGATGGAAAAAAAAACAAACTTGTAACGGTGTGCTTTACGTTTGTGGCATAGAATGAGGATTTCAGGTTTTGGAGGTGCCAAACGTACCCAATTTCAAGTCTACCCTCGTAGAGCTTTATTCAATTTAGGCACTCGCTGGATTGAATCTCTTCCTTAACCCGGCATCCAGTATGCCTACTAGGGTGTCCAAAATGGGGTGTTTGACAGCACGCTTAGATGGCCCCCTTAATTCTCATGGCAAATCCCCAGGACATCAGCGGAACTAGCAGTAGCCGTGCAAGGGTTGAAAGGACTCAGAAGAAAGATAGGGTGGACAGTGAAATTCCTGCATTACCTTAAGTATCATTTACCCTGGGATAGATGATGTTTCAGCATATGAAGGTCATGCAGGATTTTTAGTATCAACAGTAGGATGACAACAGGCAGGCTGGGACATTTTTGCCTGCAGGATACCTATCTTCCGGCAACGTTCTGCACTGTGGGGATGAATGGAGACAGACCCTTAACCCTAAACCCTAAAACCAAAGCTTCAGTGCCCTGGTACTCTTTTTTTGACAGATCTGCCATCGAGTCCCATTGCATCTGGGACATGGTGTAGGGTTTAGGGCTTTTAGCGTTTATGGTCTAGGGATTGTTGGCGGCAGCGGTGTGTTGCAACTACTGCAGAAGGCGCGTTGAGGCTTTCGATCGATCTGGCTGTGCTGTTTCAAGCTGGCTACGGATGTTCACATCTTTCTTCAAATCATGAAACATCGTGTCTGATGCCTGAGAAATGAAAGCTTTGTTCGACCCTTTCGCTGTTTCGTGGGCCTGGGCCAACTTTCAACATCTGTTCTCCCTGCTCCCACGCATGAAGCCAAGCAATATACTTGCTCGGGCATGGATCCCGCATTGCACAACACAACAGGGTCCAAGTATGCCCGCCTTTAATCCAATGGTCCACAGATCTACTACCCGAGCCGGAATGTTGGCCTTCGCGCTTCTAGTTTACAAGTCTAAGTCTATGACAAACTACCTCCAAATCCCCACAATGCCTGTATAGCCAGTCTATAACCCCTCATAATCCGTATTAAACCGTATATAATCCGTATAGAGAACCTTATATGATCCCTTTATATTCCTATTTATTTGTCATCTAATTAGTTTTATATACTATATTTATAGCCTTTAATATTACCCCCCCCCATTATAGACTGTTAATGGGTGGGGGGAGGACCCAAATCCCTAGATACTAAACCCTAAACCCTAGGCCCTAAACCAAATCCCTAAAGACTAAACCCTAGTCTGAGATGCTTGGACCAATCCAGGCCCTCAGTGCATCGCTGAGTAGCGGTCTCCTCAGCACTTTGGAAGGCCCCGGCCATTGAGTACCTACCTACATGAGTAGTATTTTATTT